AAATATGTACTAAGAAAAATTATATGTAATAAAAATAATCAGACCCACATGTGATCCTGTTATCAAACTTATTGAAGCTTTAACGATTTTTGGGCAGTTAATCCAGTTTTACTGAAATGGCAACCAACGCAAACCGAAGTTATAAGACATCACACACCCAATATGGGCCACAAAACATCGAAGTCTGTTTAATTAAAAAAGTTCTTTGTAAAATGGCGCCCAATTAAAATATGAAAATGGAATGGAAAATTGTTAATAATTCCTAAGGATTTCAAAAATGTCATATTGGAAGTATTCCCCTCCCACGGCAATGGTTATGAACCCAAAATACCTTGTAGCCATTTATTAATCATGAACAATCATATTGCCTTTAATGGCGCCCAACGTTTATTATGAAAAATGTCTAAAGAAATCCAAATCGAAGTTAGTTGGGCAAATAAAAAAACGAAACGCTATGATTTTAGCATCAAATTTATTGAAGCGGCGCCTAACGTAAACGTGAAAGCCATCCTTTGTTGGATCATTCTTGCCTTTAACTGAGCCCAACGGTATTATGAATATCCACTAAGGAAATCCAATTCAAAGATGATTATGTAAGACATAATACACTAGATTGTGGAATCAATTTTATTGAAATGCCATGCAATGTAAAATCTGAAACAATGAGGAGCTTCTCAAAATATATTGAATAAGAAAAAAATGAAAATTTGAAAATTTTCGAAATCTTCCAAATCAATTTATCCAACGAAATAATGCCAGGAAAATAATCAAAACAGACTTTCTTTGTTGTAATCGTTATTTCCTTTAATGGCGAGATTAAACACTACGATTATGTCATTTAATTCAGTGAAGAAGTGGCGCTCATCGTAAAATATGAACATGTGCCATCCTTACCATTAAAAGATCCCAACTGCAATGAGAACAAAGAAAATTTTGTTTCAAACCTCTGTTAACCAAGAAATTAATCCAGAAGAGATAAACAGATTTCTTTGTTAGAATAATTATTTCCTTCAATGGCGCCCAACGTTAAATGTTCACTGTGCAAACCCTAAAACGAAATCAACCCAAAGGTGGTATCAAAATGGCGCCCAATGTAAAATTTTACAAATCAAGACCTTCTTGCAATCTATGTTAACTATTAAAACAAAACAGACACTTTTTAGAGTCCTTTTGATTTAAGTGGCGCCCAACATGTACCATTAAAACATCTCCAGAAATCCACCCAAATTTGATTAAGTTGCCACTTAAACATGAAATGTAACAAAGAGGTGCTCAAGAAACAATCCGACATAGGAAAAGTGGCTCCGATTTTTATATCCTCCACCATAGTATGAGGGTATATTAAGTTTTGTCATTCCGTTTGTAACACCTCGAATATACATTTAGACACCACAAAGTATATATATTTCTGATCAGCATAAAATTCTATGTCGATTTAGCGATGTCCGTCCGTCTGTCCGTTTGTGGAAATCACTGTAGCTTCCGAACAAATTGAGGTAGATTGATAATTTTTACTCAAATGGATATTGTGTCTGCAGGACTTTTGGTATTGAAAATGGGTCATGTAGGTCCATGTTTTAGTATAGCCCCCATATAACGGTACTCTCCCCGATATTCGTTATTTTGATGATTTTACCGATATTTTTCACCGAATTGTTTCAAATTTGGTATTTGAAGTTTAAAATGAATACTACAGCCTATGACAGAACATTCTCTGTGCAGGTCCACGACTTCCTATAGCCCCCATATAACTGTACCTTACAATATTCGGTATTTTGATGATTTTGGCGACATTATTCATCGGAATTGTTTCAAATTCGGTACATGAAGTCCGTAATGGATACTACAGTCTAAGACAAAAAATTGTCCATGCAGGCAAAGGTCTTCGTATAGCCCCCATATAACAGTACCTCCCGATATTCGTTATTTTGATGATTTTACCGATATTTTTCACCGGAATTGTTTTAAATTTGGTATTTGAAGTTTAAAATGAATACTACAGCCTATGACAAAAAATCGTCTGTGCAGGTCCACGTCTTCGTATAGCCCTCATATAACGTTCTCCCCGATATGCGTTATTTTGATGATTTTGGCGACATTATTTATCGCAATTGTTTCAAATTACGTATTTAGAGTTCGTATTGGGAACTACAGTCTGTGAAAGAAATTGTCCATGCAGGCAAAGATCTTCGTATAGGCCCCATATACCAGTACCTCCTTATATTCGTATTTTGATGATTTTACCGATATTTTCACAGGAATTGTTTCAATTCGGTACTTGAAGTTCGTAATGGATACTTAAGTCTAAGAGAGGAAATTGTCTGTGCAGGTCCACGTCTTCGCATAGCCCCCATATAACGTTACCTCCCGATATTCGGTATTTTGATGATTTTACCGATATTTTTCACGGGAATAGTTTCAAATTCGGTACTTGAAGTTCGTAATGGATACTACAGTCTAAGACAGAAAATTGTCTGTGCAGATCCACGTCTTCGTATAGCCCCCATATAGCGGTACCTCCCGATATTCGGTATTTTGATGATTTTAGCGACATTATTGACAGGAATTGTTGCAAATTCGTTACTTGAAGTTTGTAATGGATACTACAGTCTAAAACAAAAAAATGTACTGTGCAGGTCCACATCTTCGTATAGCCCCCATATAACGTACTCCCCGATATTCGGTATTTTGATGGTTTTAGCGACATTTTTCACCGGAATTGTTTCAAATTCGTTACTTGAAGTTCGTAATGGATACTACAGTCTAAGACAAAAAATTGTCCATGCAGGCAAAGGTCTTCGTATAGGCCCCATATACCAGTACCTCCCTATATTCGGTATTTTGACGAGTTTAGGTACAATACCCACCGAAATTGTTTGAGATGTCGTATTTGAAGTTCGTAATGGATGCTACAGCCTAAGACAGAAATTTGTCTATGCTGGTTCAGGTCTTCGCACAGCTCCGATATAACGGTACCTCCCTATATGCGATATTTTGATGATTTTGGCTACGTTATTCACCGTTTATTTCAAGTTTCAAATTTGAATATGGTATGACTTATGACAAACAATGCCTATGTAGGTCCACATCGTATAGACTCCAATATAACAGCTATATTCGGTATTTTTAAAATTTCAATAGAATTTTTAAGGATTTTATTTTTGAAAATTTCCAAATTCGTTCCAAATGGGTGGAGGGTATTAAAAGTTCGGCCGACCGAACTTATAGCTTTTTTTACTTGTTAAAATTATTCTAGAACTAAATGGAAATCCAACCAAAACTGATTAGCTAAATAAGTAAGACTCAAGGTTTATGGTGTTGATTTCATTGAAGTGGCGCCCAACGTAAAGTGTGAATTAAGAGCAAAATTAGAAAAAAAAAATTCGAATGTTCTTTTTTGTTACTAACATTTATTTTATTAAAATTGTGAGCTAAAAAATGTGATAAATATAAAATATAAACGGTGCTTATTACAAGATAATATCTTCAATCTAATAAGGTCCGATGTTGAAAAGTCTCTTGGAAAAAGTCAGGAAACGTCACAAGGAATCTATAATTTCTAACATTTTTGTTTATCTCTAGAACTTCGACTCAATAGAGCCCCATTAAAGTAAGAAACAGTCAGCAGGTCCAAAATGTAAAGCCCATTTTCGCCAGTTTATTTTAAATGGCGCCCAATTGTGGGCAACTGAGGTACTTCAAAAACAAATTTCTAATGCTGCTGGAATTTTCTACCGCTTTTCGAATCGATACTCTGTACAAATTTTTATTGTACCGAACACTCCAAAGGATTTATGACACTCACATTTAAATCCTTTACCATATTGTTGTTGTTTTTGCTCCACATATTTCGTATTGCAAAATGTTGAATTGGGGAAAAATTAGGTTAAAGGATTAATGATGTATGGCATTTTTATGGCAAATAAAACGAAAAGGATTTCAATAAACTATAAAGGATAACAGTTATCCTTTATAAATAAATAATTTCAAATGGAAGGGAGAGGAATGTTTTTTCTCTGCATTTTTGTTTAGGAAATCTATTTGCTGGCTATTTGGAAGCGGACATAACCTCATTTATTATTAAAGAGAGAGAGAAACACACACACACAAACACATAGGTTTTTGAAAAGGATCTGGGAGTTTTGTAATTCCTTTATTTGAATCTCTGTTGTTAAGTGATTCTTACTTTAAGGATTAAAGCGTATTTACCTCTACCCTCGACATTTATCAATAGCTTGGGGAGAATGATGGCTCCTTCCTTGTTGTCCCGATTTTTTTTTTTTTTTTTGCTCCTCTTCTACGTCTTCTGCCTATTTTATGTCTTGCCGTGTTACATTCTTTCATTTTTCCTTTCTTTCTTTCATTTTTTTTGTCTTTTCTTCATCATTTATTTACAGCAACAATACCCAAATGTGGAGGCTGTCATGAACTGATACTGGATCGATTCGTTTAAAGGTGCTGGAACGGACGTGGCATGCCAAGTGTTTGCAGTGCAGCGAGTGTCATGCCCAGCTGAATGATAAATGTTTCGCCCGCAATGGCCAGCTGTTTTGCAAGGAGGATTTTTTTAAGTAAGTAAATTTCGGTAAATGTTTTGCAATTTTTAAAAAGAGGTGGGTTATTGAGAAACTGGATTTTAATAAGAAGGAGAGAATACCTTTCTTTGTGGGGGACTATTTGGGTGTCCTTTAATTGGATAATTTGGACTTTGGAGATAGGAATTCCTAGAGAAGACCTACGCAGGGTGTCGGAGAAGATATACCACATCATGTGCTCAAAGGTGTTCCAAGAATATCCAATTGGTCTCCTTTAAATGTCCTAGAGATATTCTATTAGAGAAAATTTTATGTACCGGACTTCAAATAGGAAAAGCGAACAAACTTTCTTTTGCGAGAGTATATTTGTGGACGAGAGTGTAAGAATGTACTTTTGGACTCCTATGTAAAGTCCAAGAGTAGATTTATTGGAGTTTCTATTGGCAGGCCTTTTGATGTTCCAATAAAAGGGCATATGGATCTCCCCTTTAGAAGACCATCCATTAGAAGACTTTTTCCTTTCTCTCCCTATCTCTCTCTTTATGAGGGTTTGTTGTGTGTGTTTGAATATGTATATTCGGACTTCTATAAGAAGTCCTAGAGGAGACCTATTGGAGTTCTTTTTGGGAAGTCTTTGGTGTTGTTATTAACCCATTAATCTTCCAAAAGACTTATAGGCTTTTCTATTAGAAGACATATTAATCTCTCTTTCTCGATCTGATGATCTCTCCTTAAGAAGACCACTCTATTTTCCTAAAGACGAACTTCGGATCTCCTGTTGATAGGATTTTTGATCGTCCTCTGAGAAGAGTTTTGGGCCATCCATTGGGAAGACTTTTTGGTCCTCTTCGAGAAGACCTATTGGTCGTCCTTTGCGAAAATTTGTTGGTCATCCTTTCAGAAGATTTTGGTCGCTTTTGAGAAGACCTTTTGGTTTTCTTGAGGAAACCTATTGGTCATTTGGGGAAAATTTTGGTCGTCTTTTCGGAAACTTTCTGGTTATCCTTTGAGAGGACCTAGTGGTCATTCTTTGGGAAAACCTATTTGTCGACTTTTGAGAAGGGTTCTTGGTCGTCTCTTGAGCAGACGTTTTGTTCGGCCCTTGGAAAGCCTTTTTGGTCTTTTTTGGGAAGATTTTTTGGTCATCCTTTGAATAGACCTATTGGTCGTACTTTGAGAAGACTTTTGGTAGTCCTTTGAGAAGACTTTTTGATTGTCCTTTCGTGTAAATTGTTCTTCTTTTTGAGAAAATTTTTGGTGGTTCTTGGAAAAATTGTTGGTCGTCCTTTTGGAAAACTTTTTGGTCGTCCTTTGGCAGGACTTTTTGGTCTGGAGAATATCTTCTGGTCTAGTCTTTGGGAAAACTTTTTGGTCATCCTTTAAGAAGACCTATTGGTCGTCCATTGAGAAGGGTTCCTGGTGGTCCTTTAGGAAGTCTTTTTGGTAGTCCTTTGAGAAGACTTTTTGATCGTCCTTTGAGATAACTTTTTCCTCTTTTTGGAAAAATTTTTGGTGGTCCTTTGGAAAAATTTTCTTCGTCCTTTGGAAAGATTTTTGTTCGTCCTTTGGCTAGACTTTTTGGTCTGGAGAATACCTTCTGGTCTGGTCTTTGGGAAAACTTTTTGGTCGTCCTTTGAAAAGACCTTTTGGTGGTTTTCGGTGGTCCTTTGGAAAGACATTTTGGTGGTCCTTTGAGTCCTTTGGGTTACCCCAAAACCCAAAAAAAAAATTGGTGGTGGTCCTTTGGAAAAATTGTTGGTGGTCCTTTTGGAAGACTTTTTGTTCGTCCTTTGGAAAGACTTTTTGGTCTGGAAAGGGTTCCTGGTCCATTGAGAAGGGTTCCTGGTGGTCCTTTAGGAAGACTTTTTGGTAGTCCTTTGAGAAGACTTTTTGATCGTCCTATAGGATAACTTTTTCTTCATCTTTGGCAAAATTATTGGTCGTCCTTTTGGAAAAAATTTTGGTCGTTCTTTGGTAAGACTTTTTGGCACGGAGAATACCTTCTGGTCTGGTCTTTGGGAAAACTTCTTGGTCGTCCTTTGGGAAGACTTTTGGTAGTCGTTTGAGAACACTTTTGGTAGTCCTTTGAGAAGACTTTTTGCTCGTTCAATGGGAAGAATTTCTGGCGTCCTTTGCGAAAGTTTTTGGTCGTCCTTTTGGAAGACTTTTTGTTCGTCCTTTGGGAAGATTTTTGGTCTTCTTTTGGGAAAACTTTTGAGTCATTCTTTGGGAAAACTTTCTGGTCTGGAGAATACTTTTTGGTCTTTGGTCTTTAGTTTTTCGGTCGTCCTTTGGGTAGGACTTGGATTTTTGGTCGGCTTTGGGAAAACTTTTTGGTCGTCCATTGAGAAGATTTTTGGTCGTCCTTTGGACCTTTTGGTTGCTTTTGGGAAAAATGTTTGGTCTTTCTTTGAGAAGACTTTTGGTCGTGTTTGGAGTCGGACTTTGGACTTTTTGGTGGGCTTTGGGAAAACTTTTTGGTCGTTCTTTAAAAAGATTTTGGTCGTCCTTTGGACTTTTTGGTCGTCCTCTGAGAAGATTTACGATCATCCTATGGGTCGGCTTTGGGAAATCTTTTTGGTCGTCTTTGAAAAAAATTTTGGTCGGCCTTTGAGAAGTTTTTTACGTAGTCCTTTAAAAAAACACTTTTCGGCCGTCCATTGGGGAGACCTATTGATTGTGTAAGAAGACGTTTTGGACGTTCTTTGGAAAATCTATTGGCCATCCTTTCAAAAGACTTTTTGAACGATTTTTTGATCAGACTTTTTGGTCGTCTTTTAAAAAGACCTATTGCTCGTCCTCTGGAACGATTTTTTTTACCGACCTTTGAGAAGACTTTTTGGTCAACCTTTAAGAAGTTTGAAATGACATTTAGGTCGCTCTCTAGGAAGACCTATTGACCGTTTTTTGAAAAAAAAAAACTTTTTGGTCTCCCGTTCGGAAGATTTTTTTTCGTTTTGAGAAGAACTTTTGGTCGTCCTTCGAGAAAACCTATTTCTGTAGGAAGACCTATTGATCTTTCGTTGAATCGTCCTTTGGGAACCGTTTCTGATACTTCTTTGAAAAGACTTTTTTTACCCACTGGCATTTTTTTGGAAAGACCTATTGGTTTTTATTTGGAAGCCTTATTGGCCTCTACGAAAACTTATTTATTTTCTTATCAGCAGTTTTTTTTTGTCTTCCCAATTTCAAAAGCTTTTGTCTTCCTCCCAGAAGATTTATAAAGGACCCTTTGATTTTTTCACCAATGGAAATTCTCAAGAGAACGCCTTCTACTATGACCCTCCATGGAACCTCCCTTTTTACATACCCCTTAAATATCATGCCATTACCTACATACATATGCCTCTTGTTGAAAGTAATTTAATTAATAATAACCACCCTTTGTACCTTTCCCAATGTTTGGGTCTTCTAACAGGCGTTACGGAACGAAATGTTCCGCTTGTGATATGGGTATACCGCCGACGCAAGTGGTGCGTCGCGCTCAAGACAATGTCTATCACCTGCAGTGTTTCCTCTGTACGATCTGTTCGCGCACCCTCAATACCGGCGATGAATTCTACCTCATGGAAGATCGTAAGCTAGTGTGTAAGCGGGACTATGAAGAGGCTAAGGCGAAAGGTGAGTATCTTCAACTCCTCGAAAAAAGCAATACTTTGAATACAAATATAACTTTGATGCTCTTTTCGTTCTCAGGTTTATATTTGGATGGCTCCTTAGATGGTGACCAGCCGAATAAACGACCTCGCACCACAATAACCGCTAAACAATTGGAAACCCTCAAAACCGCCTACAACAACAGTCCGAAACCTGCGCGGCACGTGCGTGAACAGCTATCACAGGATACGGGTCTAGATATGAGAGTAGTACAAGTCTGGTTTCAAAATCGGTAAGTAAGATCTCTGAGAAACATAATTGCATAATTTTCAAAAAAAATATTTTGTTTTTGTCGAAGAATATTATTCACCTCCATTTACCAAGCATTTAAAATGAATTTTCTCAAGTAAGCGATAACATTGTCTCATGCAAACCGAAAAAAAAACAGTCAATGGTCACTTAGCTATCGAAGTGTTTGCTAATCTTATCACATGTGGTAGTTGAAACACTAGCCTGGTCAGGAGCGTTATTTTGATTTTTTTTTCAAGGGGGTCGTAGTGGCAAAAATCTATATTTTTCTACTCTAAAAATTGGTGATATACCCTTTAAATATAACAGGTTGTAATATATGGGGGAATATCTGTTACGTACCATTTTCCTCTTGTTTCCCGTCCATAAACTTCATTTCATTCCATCATTAAAATCTTTATGAGTCACAGAAATGAATTTTTTATAAAAAAAATATGTTCCATTCCAGTTGTTTCGTTCCATTCCAGTCGTTTCGTTCCATTCCATTTCGTTCCCCTCAACTTTACGATGTTCTAATCAAGCAAACTTAATATTTCATTAACTAAACTTCATATTATCAAATTATTTCGCCCTGCTGACAAAATGATTTCAATTCCATGTCGTTCCTCTGTCTAAAAACTTAACCATTCAAAGCTGCAAAACTCATAGTTACATTGCAAAAGTCAGCATATTTCGTTATAACTTAATTTTCACATTCCGTTTGGTACTACTTAAAATCAGTGTTTCATTCCCTGTCATTCCTCGAAAATTTTAAACATTCAATCCACAAACCTTCGTGGAATTCATTTAAATTCTGTTCATGTTATCAAATTATTTCGCCCTGCTGACAAAATTATTTCAATTCCATGTCGTTCCTCTGTCTAAGAACCTAACCATTCAAGTCTGCAAATCTCATAGGTACATTTTAAATGTCAGCATATTCGTTATAACATAATTTTCACATTCCGTTTGGCTCTACATAAAATCAGTGTTTCATTCCCTGTCATTGCTCGAAAATTTGAAACATTCAATTCACAAACCTTAGTGGAATTCATTTAAAATCGGTTCATGTTATCAAATTATTTCGCCATGCTAACAAAATTATTTCAATTCCATGTCGTTCCTCTGTCTAAGAACCTAACCATTTGAGTCTGCAAACCTCATAGTTATATTTTAAATGTCAGCATATACCGTTATAACATAATTTTCACATTCCGTATGGCTCTACATAAAAACAGTGTTTCATTCCCTGTCATTCCTCGAAAATCTTAAACATTCAATTCACAAACCTCTGTGGGATTCATTTAATTTTTTTCTAAAAATGCCAATGCCTCAATTTTACACTTTCTTTTTATGTTTCATTCCGTTTCGCCCCTCCGACTGCATTTCTTGAATATAATTTTCATTAAATTTTTCAAAACGCTTATTTCTTTCATTCATTTTCACTGCATTTTATGGTCTTGGCATTTTTTTCTAATGAAAAATTGTGTGTTCCATTTCCATCGTTTCATGTTATGCCGTGCGTTTATCAAATAATCGCCTTATTTTCCACATCATATCATCTGTTATTCAATTAAACATCGTTTCTCTATTGCATTTCCCTCTGTTTCCAAAAAAGGTGTTTCATTCCATATCGTTCCAAATATTTAATTTTTAAATTGTTAAATCTCTTAACAATCCACCTGAGGTCGTTTCAGACTATGACATGCACTGATTTTGCCATTCATATACCTATTTTCTTGTTGTTTCATGGCATTTCATACCCCCGTTCACCAATCTGTTATGTTTTTTTTAATCTAACATTCAGTGCATCATCATGTGTCGCTATACTCAAGAAAATTTCATTTAAACAATTGATTTCAAAAAAAGTGTTTTATTCCATCGCGTTCCTAAGTCTTGGCGTTGTCTTGGCTTTTTTCCTAATAAAAAATTATGGAAATGGAACACTTTCATCGTTTCATGTTAAGCCGTGCGTTTATTCACTAATCGTCTTATTTTTCACATAATTTCATCTGTCATTTAATTAAACATCATTTCTCTATTACATCTCGCTCTGTTTCCAAAAAAGTGTTTCATTCCATATCGTTCCTAGGTCCAAATATTTAATCTATAAATGGGTAAATCTCTTAACAATAAACATGAGGTCTGTTCGCTCTGTTTCTAGATAGAGTGTTTCATTCCATATCGTTCCTATGTCCAAATATTTAATCCTTAAATGGTTAAATCTCCTAAAAATCAATCTGAGGTCATTACAAAACTTGCCATGCATTGATTTTGTCATTCAAATGCCTATTTTCTTGTTGTTTCATGCCATTCCATACCCCCGTTCACCAATCTGTTATGTTTTTTTTTTTTTTAATCTAACATTCAGTGCATCATCATGTGTCGTTATACTCAAGAAAATTTAATTTAAACAATTGATTTCAAAAAAGGTGTTTTATTCCATCTTGTTGCTAAGTCTTGGCGTTCCATTTTATGGTCTTGGCAATTTTTTTCTAATAAAAAATTATGGAAATGGAACACTTCCATTGTTTCATGTTATGCCGTGCATTTATTCACTAATCGTCTTATTTTTCACATAACTCCATCTGTCATTTAATTAAACATCATTTCTCTATTGCATTTCGCTCTGTTTCCATAAAAAAGTGTTTCATTCCATATCGTTCATATGTCCAAATATTTAATCTTTAAATAGTTAAATCTCTTAACAATCCACCTGAGGTCTGTTCGCTCTGTTTCTAGATAGGGTGTTTCATTCCATATCGTTCCTAGGTCCAAAAATTTAATCTTTGAGTGCCCAAATCTCCTAAAAATCAATCTGAGGTCGCTTCAGACTATGACATGCACTGATTTTGCCATTCATATGCCTATTTCCTTGTTGTTTCATGCCATTCCATTCCCCCTTTCCGCGTTCTGTAGCTATTGAATGCAGTTTTCAATTATGTTTTTATAAATCTAACATTAAGTGCATCATTGTGTGTCGTTATACTCAAGAAAATTTCATTTAAACAATTGATTTCAAAAAAGGTATTTTATTCCATCCCGTTCCTAAGTCTTGACGTTCCATTTTATGCTCTTGGCAGTTTTTTTCTAATAAAAAATTATGGAAATGGAACACTTCCATCGTTTCATGTTATGCCGCGCGTTTATTCACTAATCGTCTAATTTTTCACATCATGTCATCTGTTATTCAATTAAACATCATTTCGCTCTGTTTCCAAAAAAAAGTGTTTCGTTCCATATCGTTCCTAGGTCTAAAAATTTAATCTTTAAATGGGTAAATCTCTTAACAATCAACCTGAGGTCTGTTCGCTCTGTTTCTAAATAGGGTGTTTCATTCCATATCGTTCCTATGTCCAAATATTTAATCTTGAAATGGTTAAATCTCTTAACAATCCACCTGAGGTCGTTTCAGACTATGACATCCACTGATTTTGCCATTCATATGCCTATTTCCTTTTTGTTTCATGCCATTCCATACCCCGTTCACCAATCTGTAGCTATTGTTTGTTTTCAATTAGGTTTTTGCAAATTCCAACATTCAGTGCATCATCATGTGTCGCTATACTCAAGAAAATTTTATTTAAACAATTGATTTCAAAAAAAATGTGTTTTTCCATCTCTTCCCTAATAAAAATTATGGAAATGGAACACTTCCATCGTTTCATGTTATGTCGTGCGTTTATTCACTAATCGGCTTATTTTTCACATAATTTCATCTGTCATTTAATTAAACATCTCGCTCTGTTTCCAAAAAAAGTGTTTCATTCCATATCGTTCCTAGGTCCAAAAGTTTAACCTTTGAGTGCCCAAATCCCCTAAAAATCAATCTGAGGTCATTACAGACCTTGCCATGCATTGATTTTGTCATTCATATACCTATTTTCTTGTTGTTTCATGCCATTTAATACCCCCGTTCCGCATTCTGTAGCTACTGAATGTTTTCAATTTTGTTTTTGTAAATCTAACATTCAGTACATCATGATGTGTCGTTATACTCAAGAAAATTTCATTTAAACACCCTGTTTCAAATGTTTCATTCCATGTCGTTCCAAAGTCCAAAATCGCATCAATTCAATCTTCAAACATGTTAGCAATCAATTTTAATACGTTTTGAGCATTAATAATTCATTCTCTTTATCCTTTCAACATTTGTTTCATTCCATTTCGTACCCTTGTCCTCACTTCTATAGCTTTAAAATGAAAGTTATTTGAAGCTTTGTAAAAACGATTTTTCGTTGTCCTCATTTTCTCAGATTTTTTTTTTTTTTTTTTTGTTTTTTTGAAGATTTTCCTTCTTACAAATGTTGTTTCATTTCCATTGTTCCTTGTTTTTATTAAACCAGTCCATTATTTTTCACTTCATTTCATAATTTCGTACCATTTTATTACCCCTCGTTTTATTTTAGTTTTTTTTTATAAATTCTAAACGTTTCATTCCATTTTGTACCAATCCAATATTCGATTCCATATCTTCACGTTTCGTTCCACAACATTGCAGTTAATTTATATTATTCCAAATATTTGTTTTTTTAAAATTTTCTCCATTTCATTCCATTGCTTCTCGTTCAAAACCGTTCCATTCCACATCATTCCGCTCAATTCCAAGTCATCCCGAGTACCAATCCAGTTTTGTACCAATCCAGTTTTGTTTAATTTCATCCATTCCATTCCGTTCCTTTTCTCCACGTTCCTTTTCTCAACATTCCATTTATGGTATTTTATTCTATATGTTTGTATTTTTAAATAATTTTCGTTTCATTCCATTGCTTCCCGTTCCACACATCATCATTCCGTTTCATTCCACATTATTCCGTTTCATTCCACATAATTCCGTTCAATTCCAAATCATATCGCTTTATTCCATATCATTACGTTGCCTTTCTCATAATTTTATCCATACCACACACATAATTCCATGCCATACCCTTTCATTACCTTTCACCGTTCCATTACCCTTCATTTCTTTGTATTTGACTTCATTTCGTTTCATTTCACTTCATTTCGTGATATTCCCCTTCATTCAACTTCATTTAATATATATGCGTTGCATTCCGCTCAACCGTTATCTGTCTACAGCACTCCCCTTCATCCCTCATCACTCAGTTCCATTCCGTTTCATTCCACATCAATCCTTTTATTGCCTAATATTACATTTCGCTTCCGATTATTTCGTAAATATCACGTTATTTCATCCTATTCCTTGTCATTCTGTTCTGTTCTGTTCCATTCCACTTCATTTCTTTTCATTCTACTTGTTCCACATTCATTTCGATCCACCATGAATGTTCCACATTCATTCCGTTTCATTAGATATCTTTATGTTCCTTTAAACATTGTCCCACATCTTTCAACCCCAGTCTGTCTCATTCCATATCATTGAGTTCCGTTTCACTTGTACCATTTCATTCCATTCCGTTCCATTATTTATTATTTATATATATATTTTAATTTTCATTTCCATACATTCCTGCCACACAGCTTACAAGCCCTTTCATTTCAATTCCATTTCATTCCGTCCCTTCATTTTAATAACAATAATTAATAACCGTTTTTCTTTGTTCTCCCTTTTTTGTCTCCCCTTACAGAAGAGCGAAAGAGAAACGTCTGAAAAAGGATGCTGGCCGAACAAGATGGAGTCAATATTTCCGCTCAATGAAGGGCAGTTGTTCCCCCAGAACCGAGAAATTCCTAGACAAAGATGATCTTAAAGTCGATTATGATAGTTTCAGTCATCATGGTAAGTCCTAGGCAGCCAAGATTCAAGATCCGGAACTAATCCCATTTTATTTTCACAGACCTCAGCAATGACAGCTATAGTACCGTCAATTTGGGTTTAGATGAGGGAGCCTCACCACATTCGCTGCGTGGCTCCTATCTGCACGGTAGTTCAAGTCCTTCACAGTATCCATCTAGTCGCTCGCCCCCTCCAGTGGGGCAAAATCACTCCTTTGGTTCATATCCCGACAATATTGTCTATACGAATATAGGTGAGATGCCTAGACCTAAAAATAATGAAATCTCTTTCTAAAAATCTCTTTTCCCTTTAAATTACAGATCACAATTCCGCATCGAATCTACATGGCTCCAAGTCGCAATCCCGCTTACATGCCGGCAGTGCTGTCTCGGACCTGAGCAATGACTCCAGTCCCGAGCAAGGTTTTCCCGATTTCCCACCCAGCCCGGACTCATGGCTAGGCGATACGGGGACCAATCCAAATCCGAACTCCAATCCGAATTCGGCCACAGCCGGTGGTGTACATTACTGATACTCAAACATTCTCTTTAGATATTTTCAAATGCAATCGCGTAATCTATTGATGGCCTCTCAGAGTAATGATCCAACGTCGGCGGCGACGGCGAATCTGAGTCTAATGGAAATCGATGAACCCGAAGATGCTGCTTCACCTGCTGTGCCACCAAGTGCCGAGCAAAAATCATAACATTTTGAAGATACTAAAGATAACAAGTGATGGCCGTATGGAATCATCGATCGATTATGGAGTTTATCCTCTTTTGTAATATGTTTTTAATTGTCCCCTCTCTCTCTCTCTCTCGCGCTCGCTCTCCCATTTTCTCTTTAAGATGAAATTGTTATTTGTGTTTAAGAAGTCATAATTTAAGAAGAAATCTATCGTAAGAGACCCGGTACTTCGAGTTTGCTCAAAAATGTTTGTTAAACCTCCAGAAAAATGAGAACCAGTGGCCTTTTTTGGGGGATGGGAAGGAGGAAGGAATTCAGATTTTTTTATGATGAGTTTGGAAGATTTTCTCGTAAAGGAGGAGAACAACAATCGATGATCTTTATGAAAATTTCGACGGATTTTATTACGAGAAGATCATTGGATCTAGAAAGGAGGATCCATCCATTCTCAGAGGAAGATCAGCTGAAATTCTTATTAAAAATCATAGATAGATTTTTTCTTCTCTGGAGATTTTCATAGATTCATGAACTAACCGATCAACTTTTAAAAAAAAATGATATTTTGTTTCCTGGAAAGACCAATAGATCTTGCCTACCTACATATCAATTCGTTAAAAAATAGATGAATTCATTCCAAAGAAACAAAATCAGGAGAGGCTATTCACATATATTCGATATATGGTATTCTGAGAAAATTAGCAGATATATTCGCAAGAAAATGGAGCAATCTCCTCGTGGGAAGAACTATTGATTCTCAAAACAGAATTTAAAGATTTTCTCTTAAAAAAGGAACAGATCTCTTCATAAAAAGAAGATAGATAATCGGAAGAAAATTAGCAGAAAATATTAGCAAAAGATCCAATGAAAGATCAATGGATCTCCTCATGAGAAGAAAAATTGTTTGCCGTATGAGAAGACCAATAGATCGCTTTATTAAAAGGCCTGATATGTTCTTCAGCAGAAAATCTACGAATCTTTTTAGGAGGAGATCGATAGGTCTAGAAGGAAGTTTATAACATAAATTGATAGGTGTTCTAATAGAATGATCAATAGATATCTAATTGAGAAGATCGAGAGAACGTTCTCAGCGATGAACAACAGATATTCTAATGAGAAAATGAATAAATTCCCCCCTGCGAAGATCGATAGATGCTCACAGGAGAATTTACAGATTTTCTCATCAATAGATTTTGAAAAAACTTGACTTCACGAAAAATCAGCAGGTTCTGCCCACTAGAATATAGATTGATCTCCTTCTGAGAAGAACGATAGATATTGTCATGAGAATCTGCTGAGGCGAAGAATAATCTTAAAGAGAAAACTATAAAAAAACCCAACTCCTGAAGATCGACATACTATTTAATGGGAGACCCTAAGCGACCCATCACCTCATGGAAGGATTGCAGAAAATAAACAGATGTTCTCCCAAAAAAGGTCAGTGTATCGATCCCCACATGAGAAACACAACATGTTTACTTAAAGAGACTCTAAATCTACTCATATCTTTATGAAAGGATCAATCGATGCTTTCAAGAAAAAAACAGAGATTCTTTTTTTCTCAAGGCGAATCCTCAAGAGAAAACTATGAAAAATTCTCCACGCGAGAAGAACGACACGAAGAGAACAATAAGGTTACTCACAGAGACCCAAAATCTATTCATATCCTCATGAAAGAATCGATCGATCCTCGCAAAAAAAAAACAGAATTTCTCCTTTTCTTTTCCCTCCAAAGGACAATCTTCAATAGAAAACTATTGAAAATACTTCAGTGGAGAAGAACGAAATCTCTTTTTTATGAGAGACTATAAAATCGACTCATCCCCCAAATAAAAGAATGTCAGAAAAACTAACAGATTTTCACATAAAAAGATCAGTGGTTCGATCCCCACATGAAAATATCAATAAATTTACTTGTAGATGCCCTGTATCGACTCATCTCCTCATAAAAGTATCGATCGATCCTCGCAGGATCACAATAGAGTTTATCCTTTTCCTTCTTCTCTAAAGGTCAATATTCAAGAGAAAACAAAGAAAATTTCTCCACTAGAGGAGAACGACATGCCTTTTTTATGAGAGACCTCAAATAGTCTCATCTCCGCATGAAAGGATCTATCGATTCTCAAAGGAAAAAAATATGTTTTTTGCATTTTTTTCGATCCTCACAGGACATTTTTTAATTGAGTTCATCACCAAAAAAAAGATCGATAAATTTTCTCGAAGAAGAACAAGAGATTTCCTCGAGTGGAGACCAATATATCCGTATCTCTTTGAGAACTCATAGATCTTCTTATGAGAACACCGACCATGATTTATTCTTGGTGAAATCTATGAATTACCTAGAAGAATACTCTGTCCCCCTCTCTCACACACACTGAGAAAACTGTTAGATTTACTTATGAGAAGATCGCTGATCAATTCTTCAAGAAATTGACGGAACTTTTCTAAAGAAGATCGATCCATCCTTCATAATAATATAAAATTAGAAGTTCTGGTGAAAAGATATTTATCTTCTTTTCTAGAAGAAAATCGTGGAAATCTCTAGTTTATCTATGAGAAAATTGATCGATCTTCATATTTGCGGATGGACTCATCAGTCTATGAGGATGAATGGATCTTTTTATGAATAGCCAATTACGGTCTCTTTGAGGATCGATTAAATTAATCTTTGTATGAGAAAATCTGTTGTTTTTTCTAAAAAGATTGATCCTTTCATGGAAAGATGAGTCAATTTAAGGTCTCTCATCACAAAAGTATGTCTATCATCTCATGTGGGAACATTATGATAATTTTCTCTTGAAATTGACTTTTATATGAGAAAAAATAAGAAAAAAATGGTTTTCCTAAAATACTCGGAAGTATGATTGATAGATCCTCGTGAAAATATCGATAGATCTTCTCATAATGAGATATATTGACAGATCAATATAAATCAGGAATATTTCAACCAATTGCCACATGAAAAGATAAATGGATTTCTTCCATTACAGATCAATAGAACTATCCATGAAAAGAGCTATACGTGCTTCAAACTTCAAGAATATTAAGAAGATGGAGAGGAACGATTGCAATGTGAAAATTTTGTATCGATTTTCATATGAGAAGATCAAGATATCTACTCAGAGAAGAACAAGGGTTTTCCCATGTATTTCCTCAATATATTCAACTCTGAGCACTAATTGGAGATCTTGGAAGATCGAACTTCAAGTATCTGTTTATGAGAATATGAAATAGTCAACCAATGAAACGATCCATCTAATTAAATGCCTTCCCTTGAACAAAATGAGAGATCTCCTCAAGAAAAAAATTTTAGATAAATAGGTCTTCCCACGAGAAAAAATTGGAATTTTCTGTAGATCTCTTTCTGGGGAGATCAACAGGGCCTTCTAATGAAGATCGATTAATATTCGCACGAGTAAGGCATTCTAGTTTAAATATATATTCCAAAGAAATTAGCAGAACAATTGAATTTAGCTTGAAATGAATGGGAATTCTTTTGTCAATAATCACCAATTTCCAAAATTTCCTTCACTACATCGATGTAGTCAGCTGTCGGACCAAGGATCCCCGAACTGGTAGATTTTTATATTTTGTACTTAACATTTTGCTTGAAAAATCCAATTATTGTGTGTTTCGCCTAAATGGATTCTGAGAACATTTCTGGTGACGGCAGTGCTTCATAATAACCAATTAACCTATCTCAAGAATTCCCCGAAAAGCCAAGGTTCCAAGCAAAGGTCGGCTAAAGGCGACCATAATTTTAAATTTTATTATTTTTCTTGTCACTGTATTCTAGCTATTATTTGTTCTATTATTTGTTATTTTGTTTTAAAATTTCATAATATTTCCTTAATATATCAAGCAAAAAAATTCCCACACACACATGTAAATAAAACCTGTATAGTATTTGTATATTTTTGTATTTAATTATTAATAATAACAACAACGGAAAAACCACACATACAACTTTAATTATTTTAAGCTATAGAAAAAATTATATATAGAGTTATTTATTATTATTATTATTACATATATGTAAATGTAAAACAGACAACAAAACCAAAACAAACAATAAAAACATACCAAAAATTTAAACCCAAAAATATTAAAAATATAAAATTTATAATAAAAACATCAACAAATCACAACAACTAAACATATAATCCGCTTTATACGACTAGAAAAAAACCAAAATCCAAAAAAAATGGGAAAAAATTATAAAAACCAAAAATTATGGAAATTTTCAAATTAAAAAAAATACATTCCACAAAAAAAAACAAATTAAAAAAAACTGAAAAAAATCAAGAAACGAATAACAACACAGTGATGTCATGTTTATATAACTTGTAAGTACGTAATATAATAAACTGAAAAAAAAATTAAATACCAAAAAAAAAAACAACTAAAAATATTAACTATTTGAAAATCCAAAAAAAGAATCATAATAATAAAAAAATCAAATAAAATGGAAAAATTGTTAAAAAAAATCCAGACTTGGTTTAATTTGGGTGACTATTAAAATATTAATACAGAAGGTACAATTTTCGAAGCACTTTATGTTTTCTATATTTTTTAAATCTTAACTTTTATGGAAACTTCAAAGTCTTTTCTTAAAAGAAATTTTTGGTCCCTATGGAAAATTTCCTTTTTATCCAGATTTGAAAAATTCATTTTAATTTGCATATAAATAATGAACAACACTGTATTTTATATCTACAAAAATATTTCCAACATAGTTTTAAATTTTTCAAAATTAAAAAAAAAAAATTTCAAAAATTTTATTTTTTTTTTCAATTTTTCTCAAAACATAATTTTACCCAAATTCTTCCTCCACTTCTAATCGATATACTTTCCTAAACTCACACCATATCTTCACATGCCATGTGGATATTATTTCCCCCCTTATTTTCATTGCTAACAATCCACAACGTCAACCCTAATTGAGTTATTTTATTCTTGAAGTGTGAAGCAATATTTAAAGCATACTTTTAGGCAGCAACATATGTGAGTCAGTAGACAATGTTAATAACATTCTTCCAATGGCATGCTGTCAGTATTTTAAAACAATGGAATAACAATAACGACCTCATCAACGAACGAGAACTACAATTGACCATAGAAGGCTTGAAGGCCTATTGCCCATAGAAGAGCTGGAGGTCTTCTATCGACTATAGAAGAGCTGGAGGTCTTCTATCGACCATAGAAGAGCTGGAGGTCTTCTATCGACCATAGAAGAGCTGGAAGTCTTCTATCGACCATAGAAGAGCTGGAGGTCTTATATCGACCATAGAAGAGCTGGAGGCCTTCTATCGACCATAGAAGAGCTGGAGGTCTTCTATCGACCATAGAAGAGCTGGAGGTCTTCCATCGACCATAGAAGAGCTATCGACCATAGAAGAGCTGGAGGTCTTCTATCGACCATAGAAGAGCTGGCGGTCTTCTATCGACCATAGAAGAGCTGGAGGTCTTCTATCGACCATAGAAGAGCTGGAGGTCTTCCATCGACCATAGAAGAGCTATCGACCATAGAAGAGCTGGAGGTCTTCTATCGACCATAGAAGAGCTGGAGGTCTTCCATCGACCATAGAAGAGCTATCGACCATAGAAGAGCTGGAGGTCTTCTATCGACCATAGAAGAGCTGGAGGTCTTCTATCGACCATAGAAGAGCTGGCGGTCTTCTATCGACCATAGAAGAGCTGGAGGTCTTCTATCGACCATAGAAGAGCTGGAGGTCTTCTATCGCCCATAGAAGAGCTGGAGGTCTTCTATCGCCCATAGAAGAGCTGGAGGTCTTCTATCGCCCATAGAAGAGCTGGAGGTCTTCTATCGCCTATAGGAAAGTTGGAACTCTTCTATCGACCATACAAGACTTGGAGCTCTTCTATCAACAACAGAAAGAGATCTTCTAACGACCATAGAAGACCTAGCTGTCTTCTACCAACTATAGAAGATCAGGACGTCTTCCACCAACTATAGAAGATCTGGAGTTTTCCATCGACAAAAAAGTATCTTTAAAATCCATGATTATTAAACGTAAAATTAGGTTCCAGAGGTTTCTAAAAAAACTGCGACTTTTGAACCAATACCTTGGTTCCAAAAGTGTCGTAAAAACCCAAAATTATTAGGCCAATACTTAGGACCCAAAAAAATAAAAAAACTTAATTCGTAGACCAATAACTTAGTAACGAGGATTTCTAAAAAATTAGGGCCATTGGCCCTGAAAGTGTCTTAAAAATCCACGAATACTGGGCCAATACCTAGGTTCCAAAGATATCCTAAAAAATCCCTGTTATTGAATCAATACCCCAAAAAGGAGTATTTTAAAAATCCACGATTATTATTACTTTGGTTCCAAAAGAAGCTTAAATATCAACTTTTATTAGAACCGAAAAGTGTCCTAAAATTAGCAATTTTTATACCAAAACCTATGTCTCATAGGTTTCAAAGAAACTAAAACTATATCCAGGACCCAAAATATTTTCTTCCTCACATTTCAAAAACAAAAAAATATGGTTATTAGACCAATAACTCGGTCTTAAAGGTTTTTTAAAAAAATTAAGACCACTGGATTAACATCAAGATCCCGGAAGAAAATATCTACCTTTTGTGGGGGAGGTACCAGAAGAATTGGACCGATATTGCCTATCTCCAAACTCGACCTAAGTTTGATAATAATATAACAATGTACCAAGATTGGACCAAATCGGATACTCCCTTCGAGAGTTATCGTGGGCACCAGCCAGCCAGGCAGACGGACGGCCGGGTATCCCTAGATCGACTCCAAATGTCCTGAAACGGATTTGGTCCAAAAGACCTGGGGTCTAAAATCGTTATTTCGATGAGGCATGTTTTGGCCGTATCAAATGACATAAACACTCTCTAGCCATATGGCTGAGGATATACAGAACAGGATTGTTTGACCAATTCCCATATTTTAAAAATATTTCAAAAACCATCCCTTAAGTAAATTTATTGAACCAATACCCCAAAAAGGAGCTTTAATATCTATCATTACTGGACCAGTACCTAGGTCAAAAAATTATTCTTAAATTCTATGTTCATATTGAAACGACTCTGCAAAGTTTGGGACCCCCAAGGTCCTTTAAATTTTTATGGTTATAGGGCCTCCAATGTATCTTAAAATCCAAAACCCTAGACTTCAAAAGTATCTCAACAATTCGCAATTATCTCAAATTTATCTTTAAAATCAAATATTTTTCAATTTAGTATATTTGCATTTTAATATTTCGAGAATTGTCTACGTCTCTGCTGTGTAAACAAATATGGCCAAAAGAATAAATAAAGCATGGAATGCTCTTTTATTTAAATAAATAAAACAACAATTCAATTGGCTATTAGCTCCAAAACAGTTCATAATTTGAATGGGTAAATATTGACTAGAAAACATTAAGAAGTTGTCGGGCAGAATCTTTTCTAATTGCCTTCGTTGGATGCTTTTGGAGAGTGTTTCGACGAAGAAGAAGACAGCTAGAATGGATTGAAATTGGGGTTTAAACGTCAATTAAATGCATATGACGTCTCGAGAGCTTTTAGGTGTTTTAAGGTATTATAGTGCATCTACAGGGTGAGATGAAAAAACTACAACAAACTTCAGACTGTTGTCATTTTTAAGCCACTCGTCCGACAGCTGTTAAAATAATTCTAGTGACAGCTCATTATATTGTTTACAAGCGTACAAAAGCATTTTGGTGAAAATTTTCCAAAAAAAAAGTTATTCGTGATGGAATTCAAGCGTGAAAGTGTGATTTCTTGATATTTGGTGGGAAAACCACAA